TTTTGATGTTAAATCATTGTTACTAATTTTCTTCTGCTGCCTAAAGCTGGGACCAGCAGCCAGTCAATGGAGTTGAAGCGGGTGTTCAGCAATGAGGTGAACCAGATGGGTCTCCAACACACAAGGAATGGTTTGGTGGGAACTATGTCCGCATTCAAAAGTCTCTTGCTAAACTCAACCTCTCCCCCCATCCCCCCTCCTTGGAGTGTTAAATCATTGTTACTAATTTTCTTCTGCTGCCTAAAGCTGGGACCAGCAGCCAGTCAATGGAGTTGAAGCGGGTGTTCAGCAATGAGGTGAACCAGATGGGTCTCCAACACACAAGGAATGGTTTGGTGGGAACTATGTCCGCATTCAAAAGTCTCTTGCTAAACTCAACCTCTCCCCCCATCCCCCCTCCTTGGAGTGAAACACTTTTGGCTCAAGAATGCAGTAGGGTTGTTCTCCTGTTCCTCCCACTCCTCCTGCACCCCTTCTCCCGCGACAAGGCCCTCCCCCTCTCCAAGCTGGATTAGGCTGTACCTTTTTTCTTTTCTTCAGGGGTGAGGGCTTTACTCCCTGCTTCTCTGCCCAGATCTCCACTAAACAAAGGAGCTCTGGGCACATCACCGGCTCCAGGACAACAAGGTATTTAAAGACTAAATCCAGCCCTCTGGAAGTGGCTAAGGGGATGCTTCTCTCTCCTCCTCCCGCTCTCCAAGCTAGCTTGCAATGAGCTGCATTTTCTCTCTTTCAGTTTTCCCTCTTTAGGTCTGACACCCCGCTTGAAATCTCTTTCCTCTTCCCCTCCAGCCTGTCCCAGCTCCCCGAGTCCTCCCCGCCTTGGGCACTGTGCGTGTCTTCCAAAGAGCGCTGGGCCGTCTCCGCGCTGCAGAGCACTTGGGAGCTTTTGTGACTCTGGCGAGGCTGGAAACGACTTTTCCATTCGCTCGTTTGAACGCTTCCAGGGGAGCGCGCCTCGACTGAGGCTCAGGGGTGCGCCTCTGCTCGCGCGGCGGAGCGCGGGGGTCGCTCCCGGCCCCTGGGACCCGGCTTGCGCGCGTGTGGGGCTCGGAGATCCCCCTTTGTCTCGCGGGAGCGAACCCCCTCGCCCCGCCCAGGGGCAGGCCGGGGGCCGGG